AGAGAGGGGGGGGGGAGCGATGGGACTATGTGATAAAGTGGGGGTAAAAGTTGGAATCGAGAGTCTTGTATGAAGAAATATCGATCTGTGCATAAAAATTTTTTGTCTCTCTTACTCTCTTCATGCCATCCGTTTGGGAACAAAAAGAAAGAAATAAAATGACATCTACATTGACCCTGTATGTGCCCCGCCTATTAAAATTTATGGAGACTTTGTACACTGCTTCCTCGAGTAGAAGATTGTCGCTCCTGCATTGTGTTAAACTGTGAGTTTTGGTGCGTGTGTGTGTGTGCGCGCATGTGCGCGCGTGTGTGTGTATATGAACTATGGGGGGGGGTATTTGGAATGTCTGTTAAATAAATGACTAAACGTGCGCGTATGGGCGAATGAGTGAGCGAGAGAACGAACGAATGCAAAACACGAGGAATTCAAACTGGTCTGCAGAAGAGCATACGCATTTGAGTCTTGACAGGTAGAGCCTTTAATCGAGAGACCGAGACGCCTACGTTTGCAGCCAATTGAGCTGAATCGACTCCATAGAGCTCGTAAAGTGAGACGACGCTGAGTCGCTCCATGGTACGAGGATGGGTGAGAGCGCGACATGAGGGGTTGCATAGGGGCGTCATGTGCGAACGGCCCGCGCAAGCCGCAGCCAAGTTTCCGAACACTGAGGTCGGGAAAACATCGTTGGATGCTTCATCCTCTGGACCAACATCGAGGGAACATCTGAAAGAAAAGGTAAAATTAGGTACAAAAACATCTTTCCCTAGCCACGCAAAAAAAGTAAGCAAGTATACAAACTCACCTATCAATAACTCGGGAGTGGTAGGGCTGTGTGATGTGCAGAACATCTCTGAGGGTCCTTTTATTCGCGTTCACTTTACCTCCTCTCATAGCTGTTTTATCCGTCTTTGGCCGATTAAGAACAGCTACTAATTTGGAGAGGAATATCATGGAGGAATTCGTTTGAGGTTGTTGGGATTGTTGCGTCTCTTGGAGGGAGTCGTCCTGTTGGCTTGATTCGCCACTTCGATATGGAGTTAGGGGTGATTGAAGATGAAAGTACCAATATGGGAAGGTGCGCCACCTACATGACCAATGAATAAAAGCCATAATTTTTTTCTGGTATCATATTTTTAACTCAGGAGTGTGCGATAGACTTACCTCCACGTGGTGCACCCTGGGCAGCGTATATTCATACGGCAAAAAAGTCTATCACTCGGCTTTCGTTATATTCATACGGCAAAAAGTCTATTAACTGGCAGTTAACTACGATAGACTTACCTCCACGTGGTGCACCCTGGGCAACGTACTTTCTTACGGCAAAAATTCTATCACTCGGCATTCGTTTTTCAATAGACTTACCTCCACGTGGTGCACCCTGGGCAACGTATATTCATACGGCAAAAAAGTCTATTAACTGGCAGTTTTCTTCTCACTTCAAACTACCATGACCCCCCTATATGTCCTACATTCTCATACGGCAAAAAAGTCTATTAACCGGCATTTGACATGACTTCAAACTACAATCACCCCACTGTATGTCAAATTCGACTACTTGACTTCAAACTACCATCATCCCACTCTATGCCATATTCGTAAATTCGACCACTTCAACAGTACTCATCTTACCTTTTCTCTTCGACTTCTCACTTCAAACTACCATCACCCCACTGTATGTCAAATTCGACCCCTTCCACAGTACTCACCTCACCTTTGCTCTACTGTCGACTTCTTCCACAGTACTAACCTCACCTTTTTTCTACCTATTTCTCACTTCAAACTACCATCACCCCACTGTATGTCATATACCTCTGACTTCAAACTACCATCACCCCACTGTATGTCATATTTCACCACTTCCACAGTACTCACCTCGCCTTTTTTCTACCTTCAGTTGACTCTGACCCCACTGTATGTCATATTCGACTAAGGCAGTTGACTTCTCACTTCAAACTACCATCACCTCACTTATGTCATATTCGACCCCTTTCACAGTAATCATCTTACCTTACTGTGTCATATTCGACTACTTCCACAGTACTCACCTCACCTACAGTTGACTTCTCACTTCAAACTACCATGACCCCACTGTACGGTAGTTGACTTCTGACTTCAAAGACAAAAAAGTCTATTGATCGGCAGTTGACTTCTGACTTGCAAAAAGTCTATTGATCGGCAGTTGACTTCTGACTTCAAACTACCATCACCCCACTCTATATCATATTCGACTATTTTTACAGTACTCACCTCACCTTTGTCCATATTCGACCATTTCACAGTACTCACCTCACCTTTTTTCTTAAATTCGACCACTTCAACAGTACTCATCTTACCTTTTCTCTTCGACTTCTCACTTCAAACTACCATCACCCCACTGTATGTCAAATTCGACCCCTTCCACAGTACTCACCTCACCTTTGCTCTACAATCGACCCCTTCCACAGTACTCATCTTACCTTTTCTCTGCCTTTTTGTCTGTGAATCATTATTCTGCCCCCCTCCCCCTCTCGACTTTTTTTCACTTTGATGTTCCTCCTCCTCTCTGTGAAGCCCGATGTCAGCTAAATGGCTAATGATAACTATCAAATTGCCTGGCGTTTGAAATAAATAAATAAATAAATATTTTTAACTCATAGAAATCTGATGCTATGTTGAAAGCACATATTTCATTTGCTATACTTTAATGTGTAAAGATTAAAACGCATGTCTTACAATCAATATTAAATTTTTAAACAGGTGAGTTGAGTTTTTTAAAATGACTTGATGTCCTTCAAAAACTACACAATAATTAGAAGTCTAAGACTATTTGTTTAAGTGCATCATTTCCTTTGTAGTATTTTGTTCCGAAGGGTTTAACTAACTTCCATTAAAAATTATAAGAGAAATATAAAAGTCAAATTAAGTCAGTTAAAGGGCTAATGTTAACTATCAAAACGTCTGCCATTTGATATAAATAAATAAATAAATAAATCTCCTTTTGCAGTATGTTAGGTAAACGTTTAGTTTTCCAGAATTTGAATTTTAGCAGTGACGAATTCGCTTCCTTGAAATTTCCTATCACCCAAAAATTTCGGAAATCACTTGTAAAACAAGGCAGCTGAATCACCGCTTCTACGGTCTAAGCCATGTAATAATTCCAGAGAGAGAGAGCGTTTAGTCATGCGCATGTGATTAGGCGTGATGGCAGACACAAAGACACTTACCGATTTAGATGTTCGTCCCAGGTGCTCAGGGTGTCGTGCAGGCTCTGTGAATCCACCATAAGTTGCGCCCAATGACTGAAAAGAAGGAGACGCAAATGAAGACCATGAGTGGAAGCTCTTTACTTTAATCAGACGCTACTGAATTGTTATTTAGTAGAGTCAATGAGCATTAGTGTCATTATTAGTAGAAAGGATGTTTGTCAGTTTTTTTACTCTTATTTTGATCCAAAAAATGCCTAATTTTGCACTAAACCACATTTTTAATGAAAGAACTAGTATGGGTAGCTGAAGTATCTAAGTCTTTAATAAATAATAAAGTCATATTTATAAATACAAGGGAAATATGTGTGGAGAACACAACGCTAAAATGGCTGAACCAATGAATCTCATGCACTCATGAGCAATCTGGAACGTGCACCGTGCTATTGGCTCCGTATGCATGACGCGCGACGTGTAGATGACCGCTTTAGGGAGCAAATGAGGTCAGCCAACCAATGAGTAATGGCCATTACAGGGTCAAAACAGCCAAAAAACTGCATTTTATGGCTAAGCTGTGTGTCAATTTCCTGCATTAGGAAGACGTGCCTCAGAGCACACAACTACCGCAAACGTATTCCAAATCGCATGTTGCCTTTTTTTCTATACCATTGAGGTAGCGTAGCTAAGTTTGCGGGAGTTCCCACGAAAGAGCAGTTTGACACAAGAATTACCGCGGATAAGAAAAGGCTTATTTGCCTATCAATAAACGTCCTTCTGCTTCCAATTTTTAACATGAAAGGTAATTCTTGTCAAGTTAATATTCAGCTTAGGCAAATGGATCTTCTAAGGAGGGGGTGGGGGG